CCACATCTTGTTATTACAGTGCCATCGCCAGAACTAGCCTGTGATTGAACGGCTGCAGCTGTTAATGAATGCCCACTTTTAGTGAAAGTAAATAAATGCAAGAGTCCGTATGGGAGGCTGTCACCATGTTGTTAAACAGTAAATTATCCGTCCTCCAAATCCTCAAATAATCCTGTAAACATTAGTTGCGGCAGCCAAAGAGGCAAATAACAGTGTCTACTGTTGGCAAGTTCATTGAGTTACAAAACATTATAATAACAAAGTTTAAGAGGCCCTATTATGTTTTTTGGGGGGTTCCCTTTCCTGTAGTGTGCTATATAGGTTTTTGTGCATGTAAACGCACATAACTGTAAGTGTAAGCTAATGTTCTAACTGTTGTCCCATAGCCTGCAAATAATGTTGAATCCATAATCTCCCTCTGAACAATTTGCTGGTGGGAACCTAATCTAACCTTTTAGTTTTTCAACTGTCTTTAATTTGCATCGCTGCCAGTCTGAATATTTTGTATGTCAAATTTATTTTTGTTACATCGTTATTCTCAAAGTGTATAAAGTCCTTAACCCTAACAATCTCTAGGCTAATACTGTCACAAGCATTTAACTGTCACTTTATTGCTCACCTAATATTATGCATTTCTGTGACATTATACGTATGTTCCAATAGTCCTTAGAAATTGTGGGAATTGGATTATGTGTCCACTAAGATTTACTAGATTTCCCCCTACAAAATATTCTAAAATATATCAAAAAGTGCCACATTGATGAACATAAACAGATCTAAACCCTTGACAACCAGCACTAATGAAATGGGTCCATTGCCAAACACAATCAATGAAATCTTACAGTCGCTCACAGCCAGGTGAAGGTATCGACCACTCTGACTCAGGCCCGCTGTGGATCACTTTACCCTGATTCATTGGTAGAGCTATAGCTGTAGGCACATTTATGGATGTAATCTCTCTGAAGGATGTGCTCAATCACAGGCTAAAAGACTAAAGAATGAAAAGCCAAAGTTATTCAGAGTTCTCTCTTACCTAAGTAATTTACCTATTTATAAACACCTTCCACTAATTAAACCCTTAAAGGTATTGGAAGTTAAGTGCAAATAGGCTTTCTACAGCAATTAAGAGTAAAGCATTTACTTTGGTTGGAATGTAGGGCTGCTCAATTAATCGTATTTTAATCGCAATTATGATTTTGGCTTGCAACGATTATGAAAACAACATAATTGAAATAAAACGATTATTATTTCTTTAATTTTTTATTTATTGGTTTTTCAGTTGAATTATACTTAAAGTTCAGGGTAATCAACTGTTAAAACATACTGCTCAATTATTATTTTTTTCAATAAATGGATGTTTTCAAAGTAAAAATTCAAGTCAAATTACTTAGGCCACGCTGATGGACATGGAAAGCAATGCCATGTATGTGCCAGAATTTCCGTTTGAATTTTTTTTTGCTGGTCAACATGTCCGTTAAAGTTGAAATCTTCCGTACAAAATGAGAAAAGTGCCGGTCAAAGGTATTCTTTGTTATTTATCGAGCTTTAAAACAATAGTCTCTTTTCCTCTCCCTCTCCTGACAGCCCGTCTGTATCCGTCTCATGCAGCTGGCTGATCCAGTAATGATGAGTGACCCGACAGTCAAAATAAACATATCTATAACTAGTTTAGGTAGTTAGAGAGGTCATTCCAATAGCTAAGTGTGATGTTTCAACTTGAAGTGTGTGTTTTGCTCCGCTCACCGGTCCGTCACAGCGGCGGAGCTGCAGGTGATCATAGAGCTGCATCATGTAGAGCTGCAGGTGATCATAGAGCTGCATCATGTAGAGCTGCAGGTGATCATGCATAGCTGCGTGTCTCAGTCAGCAGCAGCTGATCCTGATCTCTGATATTTCTCTCCCGTCCGATTAGACTGCACTCGCGTTTATGTCCATATAGATCAGATCTAGCTAGTTCTAGCTAATTATATGACTGCCTGCTTATCAAAGGACACCTAAACAATAAGCGTTGCTTGGCAACGGGGTGTGGTGGCAAAGTATAGCGCAGCATTACGCATTTGTTTACATGAGGGGTCAACATGTCCCCGTCTGGCGGTTTTAGGAATAAATGCGTTCTTAACTGTTTAAGTGTTGTGCCCTTAAAAAGGGGAAATAGTGAGTGAGAGAAGTGAAGAAACACAATCACGCAGCTCCCGCCTTCACTCGTCTGAATTGAGCGAGGAAGAGCACAGTGATCCCTCCCACTGGAACCCGGAGGCATTACTAACAGATCAACGTACAATCAACCCATACAGGAGGATACATCTCTTTCTCCACATTAAATGTTAGACATTAGAATTGACTATTCTTGTCTGTTACATAAGTGGCGCAAATGATGCGGTATTGCGCTAAGGGGGAATTATTTTGACTGGACATTTTGACCGGAGAGATTTAGATTTGCCGGTCTTCAGCATATTTTACCGGCTAACGGAAACTCTGGTATGTGGGTCTATACGATATAAATCACCCTTTGCGCCTGAAGAATTTCTAGTTGTGTTCTGGCAGCTCTGACGTATTGGAACCAAATTAATTATTTTTCTGTCTATGACATTCTAAAACCTTTTTTGGTGATGATGGCGTATGTTTTGTAGGCCAACCTGGAAGTAAGCGTTGCAACAGCTCCCTTGACAATAAACAATGGTATTTTTCGATTGGACTTCGGAATATTGAAGAAAATAACATCTGTGGCAAATTTCGTAAATGATACTAAAAAAAATGGTTCAGAAGGATGATCTCCACTTAATGACTATACTTTTATGAGTTTTGAAGCCGAAACAGAATCGCCATCAGTAAAAAGCTAATGTAAGGCTATAAGTGTACTACATCATGGTGGCATGGCTACATGTCACCACCGCTAAACCAAAGGCTGACTCGTGTTTGGCCTGATAACGTGAAGTAGTCTTATTTTGTCGCTTGTTGGCAACGGCGGTTTTATAACACACAGAAGCTTCCGACGATCACCAGTTGGGTATTACGGATGTATTTTATGTCATAATACACAATGTATAAACCTTCAAAGCTCGTTTAAAACACATACCTTACAGTATTTCAGCCATCTAACAACAAACACGTAAAAAAAAAAACTTCAAGACAAGGGAACCAAAGTTGGTAAAATGCTAACTAATTTCCTAGGACTCATTCCTGCACTTATTTCTTATCGGCTTTGTCAATGCTTTCATGGTTTTACAAAACATGTTATTTTGCTCATCCCACACTATAAACTTTGAAGGATAATGAAGCTCCCTACCTCAGACCCCTTATACAGGGGAAAAGTTTGAACTGAGTGATGCTCTGGTTGTACAATTAATTTCTTCCTGTTTATCAATTAGATCCAAACAAGGCAGAGGTGTCAGGCAGGTCCCGGATTAATTACTGCCGACAATTAATTCTATGGAGAGAAGGAACTTAGACAAGCGAACACCAGACTGACTCAGACTCTCCTCCCCAGAGAAACAAGAGATAACAGCAGAAAGACTCATTCGGATGTTTCCAGGTTGCCATACTATTAATTAGAAGTCAGTGGTGCGGGGGTTTGAACAAGAGTGGCAGATCTGTTATTAGTAGCTGTCACCATTTTAAAAAGACACTGCATAATTATTTGTTTATAATTTTTTGGTTATCAGGTAGTTGCCACACAATGGCTCAAATGTTTCCGAGCAGAAAAGCAAGTAGAAAATAATTTGGTAGCATTGTCAGCTCTGGATTTTTGCGGAGCAATCAAAAATTCGACCTGAATTAAATGAAAACTCATTTTTGGGTGATCTATTTGGCTATTGTTTTAAATATTGGCCAAACAGGAGGAAAATAAGGCTTAAGCACATGTTGCTAATTCAGGGGTCCACACATCCACTTTCTCATTATAGGTTAGAATAGAGGCTTGTGGTGGCCATTACTAGTCTGAGCAGAATTAGCAGAATGTGCAATGATAAAATAAGATATGTAAACATAAGAAATGTATAATAAAATACAAATAATAAAATATTATATGAACATGAACTAAATTCAATTTGTATTCTTTTTTATAGAAGTTACAAAAAAGCCTGACAACAATTGTGCAATGATAAATTGGTGTTGTACTATTTCATCAACATAACTAACTAAACTATATTATTAAAATAACTTATCAAGTTTACAGCTACGGTTCCTTCCATTTAACTTCCATGCTAAATGTACACTATTTTGTTTGGTACAACAGGGAAAACTATGTTATTATTCATTTGGGAATCAACAAACATATCAACAGTGTCAATTACTGTAATTGTTATGGTACCAGTTATGCCTCGGAATACTGGCATATTAGGAACAATTGTGATAACATTACAAATGATATCCTCCATCATAAGAATTGACAGAGAATGCACAACGGACAGAATACAAATTGAAATGTAACAGCACTTTAGTGTATTGTGAACCATTCATATAAATCTCTTTCTAACCCTTTACATTTGATCTTGCACCACTTTTAACACTTCTCCTTGACCAACCCTTCAAGATATGGTATATCGACCAATGTGACCAAGTTTCTAGGGCGAATAATATTTGTGCTTTCAGGAGGATGACACCTCAAGTTTTGGCTGCTAGCAACTTTATTAATCCAAAACTTAAACGTTTACACAAATTGTAATCAAAATCGTAAGAGCCTGTTTGTCATGAATTGAACATATCACATTCATACCCCCAGAAGAGGAACCATTTCCATTTCGAACACCCTTTAAACTTTTCTTTACACCCAAGATCAGGCAAATGTGTCTTTGCACAGTTTGAAAAAACAATTTTCATTATCCCTCTTATTCTAAGATGCTGGAATCATGAGTATGTATATGACACTGTGATGCCTAAATCAAGGTTATTATTGTAGTGTGTATACGTGTATGTATTCATCTTTTAACAACTGATGTAAAACTGAAGCAGAATACCTTGACTGTGAACAAACGTTGGCTCCTTTGTGCCTTTGTCTGTAGGTGAAGCAGATTATGGAGGAAGCGGTGACTAAGAAATTTGTCCACGAAGACAGCAGCCACATCATTGCTCTGTGCAGTAAGTACGCTTTTCTGGTTCTCTCTGGATACACACACATATTGTCTCTTTCCCTTCCGCTCTCTGTCTTGCACACACACTTGTTGAACTCCTCAGCAGGTGACTGGGTGCTGCTTCTCCGTCAAGGACACTGCTTGACGTCAGTGTGCCTCTGACTATGCTGCTGCATCAATGGAAAGTTAATAATCACAGTAGAGCTAATGGAAACCCATTTTAGAGACAGGCTGAACAAAACCCAGGCTTTTTAAGCCCTAGTGTGTGTGTGTGTGTGTGTGTGTGTGTGTGTGTGTGTGTGTGTGTGTGTGTGTGTGTGTGTGTGTGTGTGTGTGTGTGTGTGTGTGTGTGTGTGTGTGTGTGTGTGTGTGTGTGTGTGTGTGTGTGTGTGTGTGTGTGTGTGTGTGTGTGTGTGTGTGTGTGTGTGTGTGTGTGTGTGTGTGTGTGTGTGTGTGTGTGTGTGTGTGTGTGTGTGTGTGTGTGTGTGTGTGTGTGTCCTGGTCGTAGATAAAGGGGTTGCCCCTTCTGACGGATGGTTGAGCAGGTACTGGTGTGTGACTCACAGCTTCCATGCTGGTCAAACAGCTGACTCTGTCTCTGGCATCAAATTAGCCTAATGACACAGGAGAAGTCTTTTAGCTTTGTATCAATTTGCCTTCTTCTGAACTTACAAGAGCTATACTGAGCTCACAATGCGCACTATGGCAACATTCTGTCTACTAGAGTAAAAGGAATGGTGCTCACATAACGGTCAAAATGTTCCGCACTCTTGGCTACGTCACAGAAGTTGTTCAAATAGCCACAAATACATTAACCCTTTTAACCATAAACCATTTCAAATGAAAGTTCTGTCTGATTTTTAATTAAATTAATTAACTTACCACTATACTAGTGTCGTAAAGAAGCCACCATTTATTTAGTTGGGTTTATTTAGCTGTCGGTAAGAATTTGCTGCCGCTAAACTTGCTAGCTTTCTAGCTAGTTAACAGCACCGATTGTTACCTCCGGGTAAGGGCACAGCAGCTATGAGCCATTTGAAACAACAATACACACCAGAAATTCACACTTCACTGCGCAATTATTTACAGTGTATGACATGCAGTATATCTAGGAGAGTATCCAAGTTGAGACACAGCCATAATGTCTGTTTCATGGGGTTCAGACACATCAAGCCCTTTTGCTTCTACCTGCCCTATCAGCCGCGGTTAGCCCCAAATCAATGGACACTGCCAGCCCCCCCCACTGCCATGTTAATGTCCAACACGGTAAAACTCCAACTACCGTTGCAGCATACAGAACAAAAGTTATTATTAGACTAATACATTTACTTTCTTCATCTTTCTTAGAAGTCGGCGAAGTTTAGACAGAAATACCTTCTCTTCCATGTTTATCATAAATAGTATACTGGGTTTGCGGCTACAATTAATTCGTCCGTAATAACTACAATGTTTTTTGGCAAAATAAACTAATGACTTTTCTCTGCAAATGACACCATTGCAATGAAAGCTATATAATGAATCCAGCATCAGTCGGTTAGTACAAAAAAGGATCATGAATTTTATACCAAATCACTTATGAATCATCATTACAATGTTGTATATTTTATTTGTTCCTAAATGTCAAAGACAGAGTCTGTCTGCACATACTGTATCTATTGTCAGCCTTTTGGCACTCTTGATTTCTTCTTCTTCGCCCTCTTAGTTCAGTCTGCATTAAGCCCTATTAACACAGGATTACTATTGGCTGCGGATTATCAGTGGTTATGTAAAGAGCATTGGAAATGAGCCCTCCCTAAACCTTCCTCTTTTCGGTGACACACTGAAATGAATTTAATTTTAAAACGCAGGAACTTATGTAGTTTGATCTTGGCCATCGGCCATTTCAGTTATTTTCCTATTTAAAGTTTTACTTAGTCTGCAGAGGTTAGAGGGTCAATCAGTTATTATGATGATGTTCTCACATAAAACTAATCCTGGCCAATCCCTTCCACTTCAAGGTTGGAATGCAGTGCGTACTATACATGAAAGAAGATGGTTAATTTTCCTAAAATATGCTGTAATTCAAAGATTATAAAAGCCAATTCTTTCCTTCTTCATGTTCAGACAGGACCATGTCAATTGAATTGACCTCATGGGGCAGCTGTGACTCGTCGCAATAAAAGAGTGACTGCTGTGTGAGCAGAGTTCATCCTTTCATCGAGCAACATCAGTAGATCAAATGTCTCTCTCTCCAGAACAGCCCGGATCACATCCTTCGCTGTCCCTTATTCAAAATAGAATAAGAAAAGAAAACATAATGTGGTCATTTTAGAAAAATCCATTCAAAACTCATGAGTTCTTTGTTCTTTTGCCATCATGTATGATACATGTACAGTATATTCATACAAGTTTTAACCTGTCATTGAGTAGGATGTATTTTTTTTGCTAAAATGTTGATGACGGGGTATTTATAACCTCAGTTCCTGGGTCATTGTCATCCTTCTGAATTTTCCAATTTCAACAAAACTGTGTTTATGTTCCTTTAAATATAACATCACATGGCTACAGTCGCAGGAAGAAGTATTAGCTTAATAATGCTAGCATTTGTGTGAGTGACTGCTCCCTGAAGATTAACATGCCTAATACTATTCACCTTAAAAAACCTCTATTGGAGCTTCTCTGTGTTTCAGAGGAAGTGTGCCACCTCCACTATAAAACCCTGACTTTATTCCACAAATTGAACCATCATAAAACAGCTATACACCTTTAAAGGCCTGTTGCGTTTTCTATGTGCAATATGAATAAAGTTATTCATGTAGGGAAAGTGCTGAATGATTGGAAAACACTTCATATTACCAGAATAAGCCTGGCAGAAGTGTGTTTTAGGCTCGTAATGATGGATAGCCTAGAAGGCACTGGGGATTTTTAGTCCAAATCCACAGAACGCTATTGGTTAAATTCAGCTATTGGATGATTGATTATATCTGGGAATGTTGTCGTCCCAAAATACACAATTGCTGGTTAAAGGAAATTCCTTCAATACGATATGAAAAATATTTGTTTGGCCAAGTCTGCACTTTGGTAAATATTTCAATTTAAAAATGATTTAAGTGTTGCAGATATTTCTTATCGTTTCAATACTGGAATGCCTTCTCTGTTCCATAATTTCTCAAGGATATTCCCAGTATCTAATGGATGTTCTAAGAGAGTTCAGGGGAGCAGTCTTTAGTGTTCCCAAAATCAGCTGACCTTCTCAGATATGAACACAACTTTAACAAGTATTTAAACACAACACCTGTATTTAGTAAACTATACAGAAGAAGTGTTAATTCGATCTACCTTTCGTGTTGCTTGGCAGTTAAGTAAGCTTGAGATGCAATTTTCCCGTTTTATTTTCCACGCACATCGTAATGGTAAAAATACTCATTTGGATTGTTCACATAACATTTCCTTAACAGATTTAGGAAAACACTAGTTAATGCAGACGAAAGTGAGTAATGACACATTATCAAAAATAAATGGGAACATACAGTACTTCCAACTTTTTCGATTATTTGGTATCGAAGACAAACATCAGTAACACAAAATCTTCCTTGCCAAGTGACTCCACCTGGACCCCCAGACTCTGAAGCTGTTTTCTTATTATACCTAATACATTACATTTCCTCTCTGATGTTTCTATTGGGTTACTTTCATGAGATAAATGGCAGTGAGCCATCGGAAAAATCCTTCTGGATGGCCACATGACAAAAGGAAATGACATGTGGCCCTCTTGAACCTTCATTGTGTGCTTTTCTCAGATGTGCAAATGGACAGTGTGTGTGCCAGCTGATGAATTCTGTCATCATCCCCTGTGGTCACTTATCTTCTGCCTTAGATCACTTGCAGATGGGTATTGACTTGATTTGTACCCGTTGTCATTTGGAAATAACAAAAACTAATCCAAAAATAAATAAAATAAAATGAATAGAAAAAACACAGCAATATAAACCCCCACAACATTGAACCAAAATGTGGTTTTTCACCCCAAGGCCGCTTGATTCATTACCCTTAGAAAACATTTGCCTAAGGACTTCATGGCCTGACTCACTTCTTTTTAGGTCTTAATCAATACAGCACGATGTTCATTTTGTTAATTACGATCCCTTTAGTGCAGGGGTGCCCACACTTTTTTGGCTGGTGAGCTACTTTTGAAATGACCAGCTCACCGAGGTCTACCAACCAAAAATAAAATCCCAAATGGCAAGGGTTGCTGAATAACACGTTTTATTTATACATGGGACAACTAGGCTGCAACAAACGACTAATTTGATAATCGATTAATCTATCGATTAATGAAACGATTAATCGACTATTCGGACTATTACTGTATGCCTTGCACAATTTCTCAAACGCTCTTATTTAGCCATCAACTTTTAGATTTAGCTTGAGGTTGTTTTAGGCATGTGGAAACTAACAATGAAGACAATAAAGATGAATACTTGATTCAAAAATACATGTATTATTAAATTAACTAAACAAAAATTGTGAACAAAATTAACATTGCTTTTTATTAATTAAATCAATAATATTTCACATCAAAAGAAACAACAATGTTTTAACAAATCGTATTAAATAATCTGATGACAGAACTGTTAACAGAATAGCTGAAACTTTAACAAAATAAATAACTCAGTTACCTCTAATCATTAACCCATGCTTGTATAATGGAGTTAACTCCGTGTGTTGCTGCTAGCATACATAACACCTGACGTGGAAAAGTTACTCGTGGATGGAGCTACAGAGCTGCTAGAAAGACAGTGGAACCCGGTGTATTCCTCCGTCTGAATGTGGAGCACTTTTGCTAAATGTTTAGACAAATTGCTCGTGTTACCGCCCTTACATGCTAAACACTATTGGCAAGGAGCATTGTCCGCCTCAAGACGGCGGGTAACATTTAACCACACCTTGGAGCGCTTCTCTCCGCCATCCCCGCCGTGTGTTGCTGCATGTAGCAGCCGCGTGTGTGTAAACTGCCCCGCCCCCCTC